CCTCCCCCACTCTTGATGGTCTTGCTTCGCGCAGTGTATTCTTTTATATCGCTATCCGTCGGTGTTATTCAATCGGATATGTCTCGAATAAGCCAGGTATACGTTTTTGGTGCAAGTTGTGTTATATTTATTGTCTTAACAATTATCCCATCTTCATCTCTCCGTTCGATGATGAGCCTTTTCGACTTCTTAGTAAATAATACGAAATCCCTGCCCTGATACGCTTTCTGAACGTTTCGGAAATCGACCTTGCCTTACCGCAATGGTGGCGCAATTCGCTGACTCCCTTGGTTCTGAACTGATTTTTGGAGATGTGAACTTATATATTCAGGCGTTTTTGCAACATTATTTCAGATTTGCTTCATGGTATGGCTAAGCAATTTAATTACCCAACAGATATCAGAAGTAAGAATGACACTTTCATTAGAATATTGCCATCGAAATGACGTTGAAGTTGAAGAAAGCTGAAAGAAGTTGCAGCAAAGCCCGTTTTACGGCATGATCACGCGGAATAAATATGTAATAAATAAGATTATGTTCATGCTAATAATACTCATATCTTTTTATTGAGGCATATAACACACAGAGGATTGAAATAATTTGTTTAAATTTGACAACGCTTTCAGAATTTTTACCTCATGCTGCAACCCGCAATGAGCTGCTGAAGAAGTTGGCTGATTATTGCACCCAGCAGGGTCAATACTACAATGCGGCAAAGAAGTACATTCAGAGCGGTAACGAAATTCTGGTATGAAATGCTCGCCTTCATCGACAGGCGCCTGTTGAATGAATGAGCATTATTTTTCAGGGCATGAAAGCGTTACTGAGGTCCGGAGACAAGGACAAAATTGTCTTCTTTGCAAACACAGCACGCTCCAGGGAAATTTACATCATGGCAGCAAATTATTTGCAAACCTTGAACTGGAAAGCGCATCCGGACATAATGAACAACATTGTTCTATTTTACAAACGTGGACGTGCCATGGATCTTTTAGCCAGCTTTTACGTCGCC